TTAATCAGCTTTTAGGCATCTTGAATATTACTAATCTCTTCCTGCATATACAGGAAGTATAAGCTAAATTGTGTACGAATCATCTTAACAATAATTTAGATTCAAGTTGATAATACCTTATTTTAAATATAATAAATATAATTTTAAATTGGGTATCAATAAATTTACTTTAAAAATCGCTCGTTGATATTTTAGCACCAATTTATGCACAAATTCCTGTACTAGAAATTTTTCCTAAATATGTAGAATCACCTAAATAGTAAACACAGATCAAAAGATTACTTGTTTTGCATATATAAGTAGAATCATAGCAATTTAGTAATCCATAGGCACTTTACTATTAGTTTTGTAAGCACTAATACTTATTATCTCTACCAACATAATAGTTAAATGACATTTAATAGCAAATTCCATTTAAAATACAAATATTATTGAATGTAGAATTTGAATTAATTCTAGTACATTTCGAGGTATAATAATCCTTACAAATATCAAATGAATTATAACAACTATTATTAATTTAATAAATTTTAATAAGTTTAAATTAATTAAAGAATCAGAAATATCTGTAAATAAAAACTTTAACCCCTCTTAAAAAAGTGTAAGTTAAAATTTTTCTAATAGACTTATTATCAAAATAAAGATAGGAAGGTTATTTAATTAATTTTACTATTTAGAGTTTTTGTAAAAATAGAATTGTTTAAATATTCTTTTAAGGTTTTCATTAAAATATTTTACAATTTTAAGTCTATGTTCTTTAATAAAATATTAAGATAAATTAAATGTTATTAATATTTTTATATAAATATTTCTACTTATTTAAATTAAATTTAAATATTCAAAGATAAATAAATGTTCTTGAAAAAATAAAAAAATCAAAAATTATTTTACCTAGATGCAGCTATACTAGAATCAATACAATTACCACTATTGTCTATTCCAATTGCACTCTCAGATCCATCTAAAGGAAAGCAACCTCTTGCTCCAGATCCAGATTATTATTTAATGCAATAACCTTAGACACATGATTCCAAATCTGTTTTAATTAATATAAATAAAATTATTTTAAATATAAGAGAAATATAGATTTATTAATAAAAAGTAGTACCATTATAATATTAATTTGCTGCAGCACAATTTTAATTATTTAATTTACCAGGACTTTAAGACATTTAAACGCAATAAACACCATTGAAGCAATACCTAAAAGATTTATGGGAATAAATTAGTGTTTTTTATTGATATAAAATGCATCTACTATGAAGTGCAAGTATTTTGTTATAAAATAAAAGGATATTTTTTCTTTCTGATCTAAATTAGACAAAATCCTTCTTAGCTTACTCCCTTTTTAATAAAGAAAAGCTAAATTATATATTGATCAAATATTAAAAAATCCATACGTATATCTAAGGATTATTTGTTCCATCAAACTTCAAACAACTTTTTTATTAATTTTCTTAAAAAATACAATATTATGGCTTACAATTTATCAAATGTTCTTTTGGAAAATATTATCCTTGATAAATGCACTAATTATCACCAGTCTTTCCCTTATTTTAAAGATTGTTAAATTTTAAAAATATCATGATTGAAAAAATGTTTCAAATTTACAAAAATGTCAGAATTCGAATAACTTATACAAGCGTACTAGTCTAAAGAGTTTTTAATTTGGCATAAACTATCATTACAATATACTTTGTGAAGATAGAATTAATTTTAAAAGACGCAAAATCCAAGAGAAGTAATTCCCTGTTTAATAAAATCAAGCTATTAAGAAAAGTGACATCAAATTAATTTAATTACATCCACTTGATTTAGATCTAAGCATTTATTTTTACCCACTAAATAACAGGATTTTCTATTTAGTATAATTCTTAATTTAGAAAAAAAGATATTTTTTATTAAAGTTAATTTTACTTTTATTTACACTTTCTAAATTATCCACCTTCTAAATAATTGCACAAAAATAATACTGATACATTTTATTTTGCTTGACCTAATTTAATTCGACCATACAAATCCTAACAAAAGCCTTGTTTAATATATTTCAATTCTATTAATATAAAAAAGAGCAAATTAGCGATTATGCTTGGTATTACAGTTCAAAAATAAATAGGAAAATGGCAATTTTACTTTGAGGTGAATTAAAATTAGATGTAAATTCATTCAGACCTATACAGATATTTCCTGAATCTAATGTAGCTACTATGTGATTACTGTTTTAAACTTTTATACAGCTTTTTCTATCTTAAGATATACAAACAGGCTCATAATCACTTTTACAGAAGTCAATTAAGTCATACTTAATAGCGTCAATTACACAATATCCATAGCGCTTTTCTTTTCCAATGTATTCTTTACCATCAACCAACTTACATTATTACTTTTTTTGATCAAAGCATTAATTTTCATGGTTGCAACTGCATATAATGAAGGATAAATATTAGCTTAGTAGTATTGCTAATAAATAGAGTTTCATAGATATTAAACAGACTATTTAATTAAGTTTAAGAAAATATTAAAATATAATCAAAAGTAATTAAATAAGTCATACAATTAACTAATGAAAAAAAATATTATTTATTAATTTACTTAACTAAAGTAAAGCTAATTTAATTAAAAGTATTGTAAACCAACTTCTAAGTATATTTATTTATTTTTTGTTGTTAATATATTTTTTGAAATTAAATACGTAATTTGTTTTTAGCAGACGCCATATAAATTATTTTTAAAAGATATTTTCGAAAAATAAGGCTAATATTTTAAATAAAAAAGTGATTTATGTTTAGGCTTAACTTATGAGGATTTACAGTAATATGCAATTTTTTTAACTCTGATTTTTAGAATATTTAATTAAATTTAGGTACATTTTATAGTTTCCAAATTCAGAATATGCTAAAATTAACTATGTATTGAAAAGGCATTTATTTTTTTTATTACACCATATTTTTGGTAACTAGTTAATTTAACTCTTTATTTGATAAAAATTTCTTCACCTTCATGTGTAAACTAAATTATACTTTTAGAATATTTTCTTTTCAATATTACTATATCCTATAAATTAATTTAAACTGTAAAATTAAACTTCGGAATTTAGTTTCCCCAAAATAAATTTTAAGAATAATCTACTTTAAGATGAAAAAGCTCCCCATATAAATATTTCAAGACTACCATGAAATATTTCTGACTTCGTAAAGTATTTTGAATGTAGTTATTTTCATTTTATTACTCTTATTAAATGAAGGTGTGTTTCTCCTCATAAATCTTACTTTTGTCTCTAAATATAATATCAGACATTTCTTCTTAAGGCTAATTGAATAGATCTTTTACTTTAGATTCTTTAATTAAAATTTGGAAATGAAAAATTAGGTTTTTTAGAAGCTAAAAGACTTTTAAATCGTTATAAAAAAAATTTATTAATTTTTGATAAAGCAATTTGCATCCAACTCTGGTGATTATCATATCTTTACCCAACCAATCTTTTATTTCTAATCACATATTTTTTTCTTATCTTTTATTTTTGCTCTATTGTAAGAACACAGTTTCTTTCGCACGTCCCTCAACCTTATATTAAGAAATAGCTTCATTATTAAAGTTATCATTATCATAATTCTCAATATTTTATAATGCTGATTAATTTGTTTTTAGCCTCTATTAAGTGAGAGGCCTTGATTTTTATAGAATATTATTTATTTATCATTTTTAAAATTGGCTAAGTTGTGTAGATATGAAAAAAATCTATGTAATTATAGCTAATTACTTTTTTAATAAATATTAATAATTATTTCCAAATTTAACTATAAAAATGTAATTTTAATGTGTGTATTTTAATTAGACACTACTCTTTTTTAAAAACATTAATATATCTCTGCATGCTTTTATTTATTTTTAATTTTCAAATCTGGTTATTTTTTTATAATATACTTTTATTTAAAGAATGTGGTTGAAAGAATCAGCTTAGAAATATTGATAAAGCTGAAACATATACACTGTATACTTACTCTCTATATTAATATCCCCCGCTTCTATAAGGCCCCATATTTTTTTGGAAATTTATTTATTTTAAAACTAATAAAAATAAAATATCTATTCTTCAATATCAATTAAACTATATTTACAGTTATTTATTCATCATTTTGTACATCATATTTAAAAGTATTTTAATAAAATACAGCAACTATAATTCATTAATTAAATATTAAAATTTTAATAATATTTTGAATATCAGCATCTACTATCATTATTTTATTTAGCAATTAAATTTTTAAAATATTTTTTTATTTTACTTTTTATTTGTATATTTTTTATAACATTTAATAGTACAATATCAGAAAATAATTTATTAAAAGAGGAGCTAATAAAAAATATGTCATACATACATTAAATTAAATTTATTAAAAACTTGTTTAAGAATATTAAAATAAGATTTGTTTATAGGCTTATAATCAAATTAAAACAAATTATTATTATTAAATTTTAATTAAATAAAGTCAAAAGCTGTTAGTTTTTACTAATAAATTCTAAAAAGAAAGCTAAATTAATTTAAATATTTTATTTACATTCTTATATTCAAAGCAATTAAAACAAAATTAAAAACATAACAATATAAAATATTTTATTTATCAAATTTATGCATATCCATTTATTGCTTTTATTCTTCAACTCTTTACAAGATAATAAAATTTCATCAATTTATATTCAGCATCTTTATTCTCAAAATTTTATTTAAAATTTATAAATTTCATATATGAAAGTGTTAATCTTAATTTTTCCCATTGCATTTAAGCTTTCAGACTTCTTTCTACATACTTATCCATATTAAATAACTTAACTATGAATTTAAATTTTGATGATTTGTACTGGGTTATTTGTATAATTTTTAATAATTTTGACCTATAGTTAAATAAAATCTATGAAAATGTTATAACCATAGTTAGTAATACTAGGCAAACAAGAGCTATAGTGTATGCTAGTTGAAGCTCTTTATAATTCAATCTGAATTATATTGAATTCAAACAAAAACATATTGTAGTCAGGCATTAAATTCTAAAATCCAAAACATTTAATTTCTTATTCACATAAGGACAAACTATTTAAATGTTAAAAACAATTTTCATTTAAATAATTAATATTCATTAAAAAAAAGTATTAAAAATATATATTTATAATTTAGAAAATAATGAAAAATTTACAATAATTGAATATTTTAAATTAATTCTTGCTCTTGGATATTTAAAAAGAGTTTTAAAAATAATCTGAATTAAAGATATTTAAGTAATTACAATTATAAGTTAGCAGAGTATATGTTAATGACACAACGATTGACATGACCATCTATAACTGAGTAGGTAAATATGAAAATTGCATGATAAAGAAAAGAAGTATTTTATAAATTAGCTTGACTAAATCCCATAAGTAAAACTATTATTTATATTCATATGTAAAGAATCCAAATAAAATCTAATTTTGATAAGTTTTTATCATATATCTCCTTTAGTAGATTTTAAGCACAAAATATCCATAAAATATTAGTAAAGCTATAACTACTAATGCTAAAGCTATCAAGTTATATGAATTATTATTTTATAATTCATTACATGAAATAGATAAATACTCAGTTACAAAATGTTAGTTGTCAAACACCTAGCAATTTAACTTAAAAAAAAGAGTATTAAAATATTTATTTTATTTTAATTTAAATAAAAACTTACAGATCTAAAGATTTTGGAGAATAGTGCATTTATTGAATAGTAAGCAAATATACTTGTAGAAAGTATAATATCATTTAAATATTTTTTGCAGTTAGATTTTAAAAAAATAAAGTTGTAATAAAGCACCAAGCAAAGCATATTTAAAATATTTATCACTAATAAGAAGTAAATACCTTTAAAAATTATACTAATTTCTTGCAGCATCTAAACTAAAAAGCACTCATACATCCTTAATCTATCACTAAAAAGATTACCAATATCAATAAATAGTTAAGACACAAAATTTGGGATATTAGAATCATAAAAAAACATTATTCCGATTAAAGATGATTAAAAGATCAAAATTTTGATTACACTAAAAACATTCAAGGTAACATAACCATAAAATTTTTTATAAAGTAATAAGTAAATCACTTTTGTCATTATCTTCAAGTTAATTTAATACTACAATCTTTAAGATAAATTGATTGATATAATGAATCCCAGGATTGATATTATCAAAGGATAAATGATTTCTGTAAATTTTATGTTGCTGCATCTATTAAAATTTAAAAAAGT